TTTATGGACCACGTTCTCGTCCCCCTTTAACAGACGTCAATCCGTTGGCTCATTACGAATGCACAACTCGGCTTTAAAATAGCGCCAAGAAGGTACAGCACAGAATTGTTGGTCTACTTTTTAAAGATGACAACGATTTTGGAGGGTTAAGAGAGATATTTCATGAAAAGGTATTGGAATTGCTTTAAGGATTTTTCCCCCAGTGTCCCCTGAAATATTTTGAATTGGAAAACTAATTAGAAAAGTGGGGGAGGTGCTCCTGCTGGTGGTACACATCGCTGGACAATTTCAACGCTCCTCAAATTGGCAACTAAGTAAACTTGAAAGCTGACAGCCCGCCCTGCTCTGGTCCAGTCAGTCAGTCGGACTTACACGCCCACTTTTCCAGGCGCTACTATTATTTGTTGTTGTGGCTGCTTCGTTATGCAAATTTTCCCAGCCAGAGCCACGGAAAAAATAAAATAACCGTCGAGAAATGAGAATTTTGAGCTATATAGTACATAAATATCCGTATATATAAGCAAATGCAAATGGTATATAAAGAAATGCTCGGAAAGACAAATAACATGGTGGAGACAACAAATTTAAACGACGGATTTCTGCAGCTTCTTTGGTTCCTTGTTTTTTTTCCTTTCTTTGGAATAAATAATAAACGTAAACGAATTAAAAACGGAGGGGAGATCCTGGGCTCCCTTCGATTTATTCTTCGTGGTTGCAGAATACCGCGAAAGTTCTGCTTTGACTCTGCACTGGTTTTTGTTTACTTAAACCAAGTTTATGCGGCTTTCAATTAGTTTTAATTGAAATTCGCCTTGGCCAAGGAAAAGCAATTGGATGTCGGTCTTTAATTAAAGTTTTTAGCCAGCCAAATGTTGATTACGATTGAGTTGGCAAGAGTTAAGAAAGAGTGATTAAGAGGTGAACATTGGAATATAAATAGGGGACAAATTAAGAGAATAAAAAGAAAACGTTATGATTCTTAAACTTTGTCTAAGTTATTAACTTTAAATAATCAGTTTAAGTATCTGATTAAGATATTGAAGTTATTGAAAAATATAGAAACAGGAGATTGCCATTTTTGGGCATATCCTGTGGCCACAGTTATTTCCCCCTTCACTTGCCATTAGAGGAAGACATTTTATTCAATTGTGGCCAGTGGAGAAAAACAAATAAAATTTATTTTTCCCTGCTCGTTTTCGGTTACCATTTGCTGGTCACTTTTGGGGAAAAAGCATAAAATAAAATGAAATGATGCGTTGAGAGCAAACGGAGGAAAGCCCTTGGCTACTTTCCGCAAAAAAAAAGGAGGCGGAGCCACAGCCAGGCCATGTGTGGTGGCCAAAGGATGATGTCCATCCAGGATGCTGTCCTTCTCCAGGGTGGTGGTGGTGGTGGTGGGATATAAGTTGGCTGAGTGGGTGGGTTTAACGCTTTTTGGTTCAATAGATAGCACACACAATCGAGGACCAGAACGAGAACGAGAACGAGGACCATTTGATGATTTTTGCGTCACCGTTGGTCAAAATCATTTCGAGCGCAAGCAACTGGAAACTGTATAAAAATAATGAAAAAGGGCCAGGGGAGCGCCGATGCTGCCGCCACGGAGGCAACTTGAAATAAATGGTCAAAAGAAATAAACAGTCCCATAAAGAATAATCATTCAGAATTCTGCTGAATTATGCATGAGGCAGACGGTCCGTGGACCAACGTCCAGGAGCAGCAGCAGGAGCAGCAGCCGAGCCGCTCTAGAGGAGGCGGAGGAGGAGGAGCAGCAGCAGCAGCAGCAGCGGGGGGTGTGGCACTCACATATGCGAAAGGTCCCCATCTCCATCCCCTTCAGGAAACTCACTCGCTGAAGCATCATTTTCCTCTTTATTATCTGTTTGCTTAGCTGTGAGCTGTGAGTGTGTGCTGGATTTTTATCAGCCTTCTAAGCAGTTAGCTAGTTACACTGAAAATAATATTTAGGGCTTATAATGAAACAAGGAAGGAAACGTACTTTCAGGAGCCAAAGTTTATATGCCCTTGCAATTTACACTCAAAAAAGGATCAAGTCCATAACTAAGATCTATTTTTCGCATTGTTTTAATCTATATATACTTTTATATTTATTTAACAATTTGTTCGATAACGCAAAGATTAAAAAACTCATAACTAAGCCAAAAAAGCAATAAATTCTATTCGGAAAGCTGTTCTGTGCTAGTTTTTAATAGCTTAACAAATCTGCATACCTTAATTAAATTTTTAACATATTTAAATTTTTTTTCAATTTTTCAATATGTCAACAATGCAAAAACCTGTTAAGAATTTTAGGAAAAATTTTCAAAAATTAAATTTCTTTTCTAGATAGCTAGAAAGATTCGCCTGTTGATGCTGATCAAAAATATATGTTGTTTTTAGGGTCGGAAATGATTCCTTCAAGAGTTTCAAGCTTCTGTCTTAAAATACAATACCCTGCAAGGACGTAAATATAAGAAAAAAGGTAAATAAACGTAGAAGCCTAGTAATTTTTATCTAAGCTTTTTTCGATAATAAAACTAAGGATTTATTCTAGAAAAATGTATATACATTGTTTAAATACATTTATATAATTTACTTTCAAAAATTAAACTACTTTTCCTTTCAATTTTTTGTTAAATTTTCCTGGCTTAACAAATATCTTCTATTTTTTTCCGCGTCCCTTCGTCACCTTTTCTCCCTGTGTATGCGCAACATTCTAGATCTATTTTTCCGATGATTCCTGAAGGAGCGGTTGGGGATGGTTGGAGTCTCCTGCGGAGCAGTAGCAGCCGCTTGGCCAGTTTGGTGGCGCTTGGCCAAAAGTCAACCAACATTCGCATAATTTTCGATAAAGCTTTTCGCCAAATGAAATTCAAGTGGTTACACATGTCTCGCACTGCCGGAACACCCGACCCAAACCCCTCTCCTGACAGCGATTTTCGGTTTGGTCATTTTTCTTGGACACCACAAAACACACCCAATCTCTCCCCCCAGATGCTCACCCCATTCTCCCATCCCATTCCAAGTCATGCTCATTTCCACATTATATGTATGCCGCATCTGATTATCTCAGTTTTCGCCGTTTCTTTGCCTAGTTCCTTTTGTATTTCGTTTGTTTGTTTGATTGTTTGTTGTTTTTCCCGAAAAATACTGATAATAAAAGGTAATGATGGGGGGCTCTACCTATATGGGGTTATCACTTTGTTAAAGGGCAGCGCTGCTGGATGTTGTTGCTGTGACTCGTCACGATCCCAAATGGAAACTTTAAGTTTTGATAAAGAAATATTAGATTCGTGAGGGGATCTCGTGAAAATTGATGGGGGATTACTGGCAAAAATTAAGTGCTAACTATATGATTTAATTGTGAATTTGATACACCAAATACACCCTTTAGCTTTGGTAAATTAAATATTCAATTTATAAATATACTTTGGATTAAATAATTTCAGCTTACTATAGCTCTTGTTTTAAAATAGTACTTTTAACTTTAAATAAATATACAACAGAATAATAAATTAAACAATAGTTTAACCAAAGAAACACTTCCAAAGTATGTCAGACACAGCATAAACATATTTAAAATAAATATAAATACATTTTGCAGAAATTAAGTCCCTAATGATTCATTCAAAATAATTTTTAGCAACGTTATAAATTTAATTTGTATTTTAACCTATTATTATACAACTTAAATAATTATAAAAATAGTTCAAAAAACAATTAAAACCTTCCAGACGCGACGATCTTATACAATATGTTCATAAAAACGGCGGTGTGTTGTCTGGGCACCTCAGTGCGGCTCAGCAATTGGCCCGATCGGTGTTATAAACTATATAGTAGGGTTTAACATTTAATATATAATATATATATATATTGAAGTAACTTATCAGGTAGACAAACCGCAGCAGACGCTTATGCCTGCGGTTGCTGCGATTGCATCAGATGAGGTGCGAAATCGGAATCGAAATCAAAATCCAAATCTAAATCAGTGCTAAATCCGAAAATCAGTTGAGCTGATCACATGGCTCAGCTTTTCCGAGAGCATTATAAACAAGTTGTTTATAAACTATAATTAGCACAAGTGATTAGTTAGCGACGGGAGCTGGAATTTGTTTATTGTTTACGATCGGCAATCGTGTGATCGATCAACCCTCGCCACTCCATTGGGGGCCTGGAAATTGCCATACTTTTCGCGATAGCACAGCCCATTTAATATTGCAAAAGAAAGACATAATTTAATCTGTTGATTGTTTACGCGAAAAGTGTATGGAAAGCGCTTCTAAAATGCGTCAATGAACGCATTTTCCACACCAGATAAGCAACAATGTATAAACCAATGTGCAACTTAAAGGAAGCACAGGACAGAACATTTTATATAAGTTTCAGGAAGATATTTTTGTCTCCGAGGGGGGCCCTTAACAAGAATAGTTAAACTTTGATCTTAAAATGCATGTGCCGACGCTTTAGCTGATTAGGCCAAATCGGGAATGATTAAATGCGAGCATACAGAGGGAGAAATAATATTTACAACATGTAGGAAAATAAAATAAAATTTATAGAAAACTCTTGGGTAGAGAAAATAGATGCAAAGCTAAATTGTTACTTAAATTTTTGTTTATTTTAAACCCTTAAATTTAGACCCCAAATCATTTTCTCTCAGTGCTCCTTTCGAGATCAATGTCGAATTGGATGCGTGATTTGTGTGATTTGAAGCGTAGACAACGCGACATAATGCGGTCATTGAATCCTCGTGACGATCGAAAGCCGAACGTGAGAATATATGAGATCCAGTGTTTATTTGGCACATTGGGCATACAATAATAATAATAATAATAAAAGAGTCTGCGGGGGTATCAAATTCTGCCAGGAATGCGTTTCTGGATGCGGTTGTGCTCGGTCCCCAACCCTCTGATCAGCCGCCTCGCCTGCATTTCCCCCCGACTTCAACTGATAAGTACGTCTATATATATTCAAGTATGTGTGCCATATATGTGCGATGATGACGATGATGATGATGATCGGAGGTTTAATTAGGCGCGGCTGTAACATGAACATTCATAATTCCGCTGGCATTCAATCAATGCAGACGTGAACGACTCCGATTCCGATTCTGATTCTGATTCCAATAAAAGTGATCAAGTGATCGAGTGAGCCAGCGATCTCGTGCAAAGTGTGCAAACAGTGTCTCAATCCTTCGCTCAACTCAATTCCCACAAAAGGTGGTGTGCCACCACACTCACATACAAGAAAATAGATACTCAAAAGCATAAATAAGGTGAAAAAATGGCGCAAAGTGAGCTGGGAAATTGCTGTGACAAACTCACGAAAGGTAAGCCTTAATTATACAAGTAATTAGTTGTGATTTCCAGGACTAATTATGCCTATATCTATATTTTGTCTGCCTCAGATGAGTTGTGTTGCCAGCGGAAAAAGGATTTGGTGCCCAAAGTATTTCCCGACAAGATCTACAAGTCCGAACAGCCCAAAGGAGTGGATGCCACGGGCATGACCTGCGAGTGTGGCGTCTTTGGAGCCATAGCCTGCGGGGATTATCCAACACAGGTGGGCATTCAAGTTTATATTGCTTCTTATTTTAGTCATGGAATTGCAGTTTAAATTTAAAAAAGATAGAACAAAAATGACTACGTAGTGACATAGTGACACATGTGCGTCTCAGACATTACAAAACTATAATTATTTATAGAATAATCTTAGTCAATCTAAGCTTCCAAGATCACAATCATTTACCAGAGCCTGCAAATATTACCCAACTCATTCTCGACAAACAAAAGATAACCAAATCACTGCACTGATCACTTCGATCGATGATCATTGAGCCTGTCAAATGCAGATCATTGGAATCCATTTGAATTCCCATTTTCTATGCCATGTCAGACGTCCGACCTATGCAAATCTCTTGAAAGTGGGTCAATGGTAAGCTCTGAAGGTTTCCACCTCCACCTTCTATTGATCGACTTATGTTTGATGATTCTGTGCCCAATGGCCAGAGATTGCGGTGACGTCAATTTATTCGAAGCGATCCGCTGTTGTAATCTCTGTTGTTGATATTTTTATTGCCATAATGCCGGCTCTGTAATGAAATGGAAAATAACAGGAAAGTGTAGCCCGGAGAATTCTGGTTGAAAAAAGAGATTTCGTTATCTGTGGTTTTTACCAAAGTCATCGTCATATACTTTGGGGATCGATGATCTAGGAGAGCACTAGGAAATCAATTTTTCTTTATAATATTATTGCCTTGATAATATATATAAAAGGTTATACCAATTACTTGTAAGCCCCTGTTGCTAATTGAGTTTTTTCCCATTCGCAGCTGGACATAGCCCAGATGATCTGCCTGGGATTGGTGGCACTGCAGCATCGTGGACAAGAATCGGCGGGCATAGTGACCAGCTTGGGCAAGTGTTCCAAGAACTTCAGCGTGCACAAGGGCATGGGCATGATCAACAATTTGTTCAACGACGAAGCCATCAGGAAGCTGAAGGGCAACCTGGGTATCGGTCACACTCGCTACTCCACGGCGGCCGCCTCCGAGGTGGTCAACTGCCAGCCCTTTGTGGTCCACACTGCCCATGGAGCTCTGGCCATTGCCCACAATGGGGAGCTGGTAAACTGTGAGTCCCTGAGGCGCGAGGTCCTGGAGCGAGGAGTGGGTTTGTCCACGCACAGTGACAGCGAGCTGATCGCCCAGTCCCTGTGCTGTGCCCCCGAGGATGTGTCCGAGCACGATGGACCCAATTGGCCGGCGAGGATCAGGCATTTCATGACCCTGGCCCCACTCTCCTACTCCCTGGTGGTGATGCACAAGGACAAGATTTACGCTGTGAGGGATTCCTATGGCAATAGGCCTCTCTGTCTGGGCAAGATCGTGCCCGTGGATGCGGGTCATGCGAAAATCGATGACCAACTGGCCGAGGGTTGGGTGGTGAGCAGCGAGAGCTGCGGCTTCCTCTCCATCGGTGCGCGCTATGTCCGCGAAGTGGAGCCCGGCGAGATCATCGAGCTGTCAAGGAATGGCTACCGCACCGTGGACATTGTGGAGCGTCCGGACTACAAGAAGATGGCCTTCTGCATCTTCGAGTACGTGTACTTTGCCCGCAGCGACTCCATGTTTGAGGGTCAGATGGTTTACTCCGCCCGCCTTCAGTGTGGCCGTCAGTTGGCCCGGGAATCCCCGCTGGACGCCGATTTAGTGAGCTCAGTGCCGGAATCTGGCACAGCCGCCGCTCATGGTTATGCCCGGGAATCGGGTCTGCCCTTCGGTGAGGTTCTGTGCAAGAATCGCTATGTGGGCCGCACATTTATCCAGCCCTCGACGAGATTGCGCCAGCTGGGAGTGGCCAAGAAGTTTGGCGCCCTGGCCCAGAATGTGGAGGGGAAGAGGATAGTCTTGGTGGACGATTCTATAGTCAGAGGAAACACCATTGGACCGATTATCAAGCTTCTGAGAGATGCAGGTGCAACGGAAGTGCACATCCGCATAGCCAGTCCTCCGCTGCAGTATCCCTGCTACATGGGCATCAATATCCCAACGCGAGAGGAGCTAATAGCCAACAAACTGAATGCGGACCAGCTGGCGGATCATGTGGGAGCCGACAGTCTGGCCTACCTCAGTGTGGAGGGACTGGTGAAGGCCGTGCAGATGAACAAGACCCATGTGAATCCCCTGAAGGGTGGATATTGCACCGCCTGCCTGACGGGGGAATATCCAGGAGGATTACCCGAGGAGCTCAGCTGGTAGTCTTAGTACTCTGTTCTTTCATCTCTTCTCTAGGGTTAATGATTAGTTTTTATATCCAGTCTGTTTATAATAAATATGCTTTAATTTCGGGTCTTAGGACCACTAAACCAACGCGGGATATCTTAATTTATGGAATAGAAAGGAATTTTATTCCCAAATGAAACATATTCCTACAATTAAAGAGACACTTAATATTCGCTTAAGGAATTTAATTTTCTAATATAAATATCCTTCTGAGGACACTTCGTAAGAAAAAAACACATACTCTAAATGCTAATGGGGACACATCAACGTCTGATTATTGCCAAAACTGTCTAATGCCATAACTTCAATTCATTTCAATTTATATTTCCAGTCTTTGTTTGCCTTTCTTAGCAGAGGAGTCCTGCTTCCGGTTATAGCCGGGCTCAGATATAGCCTCATATCATACAATATGGTAATCATGTTTGCTTTTTTTCGCGCGCGTCCTGTCTCTTTCCGGCAAAAGGACTCTCTCCCTGAGCCAGTTGGGGCGTTGCAATGTCTAAAGCGGGGCGTTGAGGGCGTTTAATCCTGCCGAAGATGTCCTTGCGGTTCCCCAACTCTCATTGAATATATCTTTTTTTTCGTTCTTTCTTTTTTTTTATGACTCGCGCCGGGTACTGGAGTCAACAATGTCATCATTATTCTTGAATATTGTGTTGTATTTTCGCAAACAATTTCGCTAAGCTGTGCGGCATTGGCAAAGCCGGAAAGGGGGTGGGAGTTGGGTGCAAAGGGGGGTGCACTTGGGGGTGGGTATGAGGCAGGGACTGCCATTGGGGTGTCCTGTGCTGAAGTGTGGCGAGGACATAAGCGAAGAAAATAATATGCGCTGTCATTGTAACTCGCTTGATTAATTCTTTGGCAGGGTATTTTCCGTGTTTGCAAGACGGATTTTGATGAATTAAATATATTTATATAATATTTTTTATTAAGATTCTTCATATATCGAAATAGTAAATATCATATTTTTCATTCAAAATGTGCCAGAAATATTGTTCGTGAAGTTTATGTAATGGAAAAACCATTTAAAAACCAAAGATTCTACAAAATAATAGTCTTGCAAACAATAGGTGGTATTATATAATTTTTGATTAAAATATATTCTTTTAGAACATCAAATATATAATTCAATTATATAATTTAATCCCTTTTTCTTAGTAGCTTTATTCTCCTATATATTGTAGAGCATTTTCCCTGGGGTCTTAAGCTTCCCTTAGGTGTTCAGTCTCCGTCTTTACTCCATCTCTGGGCCTTCACCAAGTGGCTACATAAAAGAAGCGACTTCTGGCAACATTGAAAACAGACGCTGGCACTTCTCTCCGACACACCAGCGCCGTTTGCCGCTACAAGGATATGAAAGAAGGACCAAGACGACGCCCACAAAAAAAAAATATATATATATTTAGGTGGAGTCTCTCTCTGTCTCTGTGCCGTCGATCACAAACACAAACAGCCCGGGCCAAGTGCCACAGACAGTGACAACTAAGCAGGAGCCATATTGCCAGGACCCCCTCAAGTCCTCTCAGAACTCAGGACTACGCTGCGCCGCAGAACATGCTTTAAATTTTTTAATAACGCCGGGCTACAAGAGCGCTGACGCCCACGTCCGGACTTGGGATCCGGATCCGGATACGGCTTTCGCCGGGCCCCGCCCAGCCCTGCTCCCTGGGCCCCTTCCTCCAAGCCTCGTCATTTGCACAGAAGTTATGTAAATTAATGTTTACTTAAGTTCCCCATGTTATTTCTTCTTCGCAGTTTTTTTTTCCTTTTTCGCCTTGCACTTTCACAATGTTTCCTACTTCAAAAAAACAAAGGCAGACAGCAGCAGGTCAAAAATAAGGAGGGTGCTCAGTGCTGTCTAGTTAACCTTATTTTAGAATGAAGATTACATCGAAAAGGTGATTATTAGACAAAATTTTCATATACAAATATTGGTATATATCGACTCAAAAAAGGCATTAAAATTATAGTCAGAAGCTTACAATCAGCAGTCATTTCCGACCCTACAAATCATATCAAATACATACATACATATTCTTGATCAGCATCAACAGGCGAATCTTTCTAGCCTTCTTCGAGGGAAACACATTTTTTTTTTCAATTTTTGAAAAATTTTATAAGGGGTTACATCGTACATCAAAAATCGGCAAAAAATTGTATTTTTTAAGATTGTAAATTGGATATGCAGATTTATTAACCCAACAAAAACTAACACAGGACCGCTGTCCGAATTTAAATTAATGCCTTTTTGGCTTAGGTACAGCCAAAATGTGATTTTTAGGACAAATTTTCATTTAAAAATATTGATAAATATTGATGCAAAGAATTCTTATATTTTAAATGATTTATTTACCTGTAAAGCGTTGCTTTAAAAATATTTATAGTTTTATCAGGCCATTCTTACTTAAAAAAAAAAAAAACAGTTCTAAAAATAAATATGAAATGTATGAATTTGAATAATATTGGGTGGCTTCCTTGGCATCTCTAAGGCATCTAAAAAGGTTCGCTCTATGAAAAAAAATTCGCAATAAATTTTGGCAGGCGCTTCTGTAATTTAATAAAAAGCTTTCTAGGGGGAAAGCAGCAACCCAAAGGCAGACAGAGAGCCATCCCTAGTATAAACAATCAAGCTTATTATTGAGTCAAATGGCTGAGTAAATATATGAGCCAAAATTATGGCAATGGCATGCAAATGAAATGGCCAGGTCCAGAGGAGAGTTGGGTTTGGGGATTATGAAGCCATTATCTGAAACACTTCATTGAAATCGTCGCCGCAGAAATTTAATTTAAACATCGGCCCCAGGCTGCCGCAGTTACTCCTTCGTCCTTCTGGCACATGCAACAAGTTAGCGAGAACCACACGAGCCAAAGTCAAAAGGCAAACACTCCGACTCCGTTGTCCTTCGCATTTCCCCCCTGTGAGTTTCCTTGAGTTTCCCTGAATTTCCTTGAATTGATAGGCACGCAAAACGTGCCTGGCATGCAGGAGGACATGCCATGTGGCCCCAAAGGGACATCGAATCAAATGCAATTTTCTGGCCAATAGAACACTTCGTACAGGATACACCTAAGGCCATTTCGTAACATCCTTTCCTCTAGTTCATTAGCAAATCAAACTTCCGTCTTGCAAGACATTTCTGGCATGTGTCCGTTGCGAAAAAGGGACAACATTCCTGCTGGCTGACCAGCGAAATTTGCATTCCTTGAACCCTTGAACCCAGGGACAAGAAAACCTCTTGTTAGCTGGTAATTTGATTTAAAGGTTTTTGGTCCTCTGACTATGAGACTGAGAAAACCACAAAGGGTTAAATGGTTAGCAAAGATTTACAGCCAATTGGTAGCTAATTAATACGACAGCAGAGTAATTTATTTATTTATTGTTACTAAAAGATTAGTTATAGGGAAATTGTTATTAGAGAATATTTTAAAAATCACTTTTACATGCTTACCAGGAAATTTCCTAGAAATCATTTAGAAAAACCCATAAAACCAAGGACAAATTCAATCTTTTTTTAAAGACTCGCCACATTTCGCTAGCTAATTTTCCATTTCCCCAAAAATGGAATCTAATCAACTGCTGGACCCCCTGTCCGCTTCAAAAAAGAATTTGCATAATATTTTTGGACAAAGTTTGCTGTATGCTATCTAGCAGACAGAGACTCAACAACAAGGTTTCCACAACTTTGCGTTAATTTTCTAAATATTTTCTAAAATTTCCAAATTGCATTTGGAGCAGAGCACAAGCAACGACGATGAGATGGAGATGCCGCAGGGCGATCCCAAGCCAGGTTGCCGTGCTCGGGCTCACTCAGCACCCACAACCGGGTACAAGTTGAATTTTATAATTTAAAATTATGAACTAAAATAATTTAATTTTAGTGGCTGGCACGCAGAGAGCTCCGGCGATGTGGATGATGAAGCCCCCCAGGGGCAGTATTTGCTGGGCAAACACGGGCAGGAAATTAAGTGCACTATATATATGTATATATATAATAAATAATGGCTGTTATTGTGCACAACAGCAAATACAACAAAAGCGCGTTGAGGCCATAAATATGTATGAAGGTTGCTGCACCAGCAAAGAATGCAATTTCCCTCGAAAATCCTACATTTGACATCGCGTGTTTGGCGGCGATTTTCCCGCTGCATTGGCCAATTCTGAGGAGAGCCAGTCGGCGAAGATAATAACGATAATTAAGCCAAGCGGCAAACCAAATCTCTGATTTGAGTGACATGCAACAACAAAATAATCAGCATCTGATGCGTCAGCGGGTGTGCTGTGTGAGAGTGTGCTGGATGGAGTGCTGCCGCCATTTTGGGGACTGCAACACTTCCGGCCATCATTGTCAACATGTCATCCGTGAGTGTGTGTGTAAGAGTGCGAGAATGCATGATGAAATCTTTTCTCAGGCAGAATTCAAAGGGGTCAATTTGAACTAGGAAAATTACAAATTAACTTAACTTTTAACTGCTCAATACAATATAAAAATGTAATTATTTAATTATTTAATATTGACTATCTTTCAGTTAAAATAAGAATAAGGTATTCTTTTCTGAGGTGTAATACATTAAGCACAATGTTCTTAATTGATTAATTGTTCAACTGTTTTCCCTCTCTGCATTGGAATTTTTCAATGGCTTGTTGGATGTTTTTCGATGATTGCTTGGGGTTTTATGGGCAGTTCATTTGTTTCAGGCTTTTATTCATTTGTAATTATTATTATTTTAGCTGTAGTTTTTATTGAAATAATTATGATGGGGCGAGGCGAGTGCTGCATCTGTTGAGCTTCCCATTGCGTGTAAGTTCATTATGTTGCCATACTGACTTGTTGTTGCTTTTGTTCATGGTGTGCCTGATACGTTTCAACAACAAAGGCAACAACAATTACAACAACAATAGCAGTAACAACAACAACAACATCCGCAGTCGCAGTTGTCTGGCCACCATTGCAAATTTCTACATGGCCGCTCAACTGAAAATTGTTTGTGCAGTTTTATTTTTACACATCTTTTTTTATGTTTTTTGTTTTTATTCACATTGTTGATGGCTTTGTTGTTTTTGGTTGCCTGTTGTAAATTGCAATTTC